GCTTTTTTCACCTCCATTTCCGTCTCTCGACTTTTCCCTATCCCCGCTTTCCCTCCCACGGCTTGATGTGATTTCATTCTTGTACTTCGGCGGCCCCCTCATATTTCATTTCCCTCGCTCAGAGTCGAGTAAAAGGAAAAACCCCGCTCTCGCGTCTTTAGCTTGAGTGTGGCAATTATATTTTTATTGTTTCTGTTGCCAAATTGTCTAGCAAAAATGTTGATAGCCGCCTTGGGCAGCACTTGGCTTGAATGGTGGCTGCCGTCCGAGGACGAGGACGAGGACGCCTGGTTCTGGCCAGAGGTTTAGGGAGTTAAGTGTGCGGGAGGAGAAGCCACTGTATAATTCGATTTCGTGCATCGATTACGATTACTTCTTCTCCAAGACCCCTTGGAAAATGAATATCTTGTTTGGAGGACTGACAAGGATTGAAGACGTGGGGAGCCAGTGAACCAGATTTCTGTCTTTGAAGAAAATCAAACTGAAGAACTGAATAATAACTATATAAGTCTAAATAACCTATCAGACTCTATATGTAAAAGAATTTTCGATTCTGAAAACTTTGCAGTTTAATTAAATGCACTTGCAGCCAAAATACTAGTTTCAACCTTGCTTTGATTGAGCCACCAACGCCGAGCCACATCCTTTATTAGAAGCAACATCTTCCTATACTATTTATCGCAAAATGACCATTGGCAAGTGGAGTGAAGTTTGTTTATTTGCTGAGGCTTAAACCAGGATTAAACTCTGCCCCGTGCCCCATGCCGCCTGTCCCCTGCACAGTCGCCCGTTTGTGGTCAAAGTAGGAAAACTTCTTGTATGAGAGGAAACTTGGCTCATTAAATTTTCATTGTTTTAATTTGCACAACGTGAAAAGCTTCCTGATGGGGAAAAGGGGAAGGGGACAAGGAGAAGGTGTGGTTGAAAGTGTGGTTCGGTGGCTGTGGGGCTCTTTATGTGGACGTGCCTGGGCGGAGATGTGGCCCCATCGGTTTCTTCGGTTTGCAGAGTCAAAGCCGCCACGTTTTACGACTAATTTGGCTAATTTGAGAGCTCAGTCTGCTGCTGCTGGTAAAATCAATCTCAGTCAATTAGGCCAAGCAAAAGAACGCCTTTTTCCCCCCGCAACTCCGACTTTAGTTCAGGGAAAGTTTATTTTTCTAAATTTTACTTTTTTTCCCTACATATTAGACTTTTAATTAAATTCTCGGGCATTCTGTTCGGTATCTACAATGCTCTGCTGCCAAGTTTGAAGCGAAAGTTTCACTTTCTGCCGTTTGTTCGACTAATTAAAAACAGAACAACGACATGGTCGGACTGCACTTTGAATACTCTGCAAAAAGAGCTTAGAACCTAACCAAAATTCAGATCTGCCCAGCTAATAACCTGGCCTAACAAATTTTCTATTTATATTATTTAAGATTTTAAATATTCCTCTTGGGCTTTACCTTTAACGTAGAATCGTCATAGCCTTTATGAGTTGACTCCAATTAGGGTATGACCCAAGACCCTCGAGGACCTTCTTTCTGATTTATGCCTTCGAAGTGCCTTTCTAACCAACTCGAAGGGGGCACACCCGCCACCCAACTCTCCTCTCTTCTAATCGCTTTGGCCATTAGAGCACAAGCTGCGCTAATAAAAATTAATGCGCCCGACGCTTGGTGGCCCCGGTTTCCACTTTGCCTGGCACACAGAGAGTCCACAGTTTTGTGGATTACCTAACGGGCAGGCAATGGGTGGCGGTGATACCATTCCTGGTGTGGATTCTGGCCCAGTCACTCAACTCGTTATGCAATTTCCCTACATTGTTTTCCCTCTGTGAAATGCGCCCCCTCACTTGCCGTCCTTTGTGCTCGGCTCTGTTGCCAATTTATTCGCACTTATGCACGTGCATACAGCCGCACACAAGGACAGTCGGAGGCTTCACACATGATCCTGGCACGTTGTTGGCCGAATCAATTTCATGGCTCGTTCGTCTGCGCCCGAACCGGCCAGCTCTCTAGCAGTCCACCAGCCCAACCGCCCACTGGCCATGCCCTTACCACCTCCCTTTGATGGCTTTTGCAATTTGCTCGTTTTCTTGTGTCAACAATGGGGCCCGTGGTGAGTGAGTGAGTGAGCGAGTGGGTCGGTGGTGCTACCTTTGCTCCGGCCAAGCTGTTGACCAAGTAGGAACAATTAAAATGATTTTTCTGGCATCCGTTTGGCACTGCACTTTATCAATGTGCCCCTCGTTGCTGCTTTCCAAATGTCAACTGCCAAGGACGAAATGTTGTTTGCTTTCGTTCGCTTTCTAGAACTAAAGGCACAAGTACACTTGGAGAAATAGTTAAATGTAAAAGTAATAGTAATAACAGTAAGAAATGAATTTAAGGGTAGCCATTAGTAGTGATATCTTGACTAGAGTGTTCTACTAACTTTCCCAACAAACTAGCTTTTGCAGCAAGTCATGATATATAATTAGTGACTAATATTTGGTTATTTATTTCCTTATAAATTGTATTATTAAGAGTGGGTTAAACCAATTTCTTCAAGTACATTGGAAGGAGCGGAACTGAAGTCCTGTTTCTATATGCATGCCAGCTGAGAGGCGCTACTTCAATTGGCAGTCGGGCAACCTGTCTGACACTGTCGAACTTGTCCATTTACTGATTGATTTACAATTGGGTGTCGTGCATGGTTTGGTCATAAATTACCTGGTCCGGTGAACTCTATTATTGGTTACTGTCAAGAGCAGTTAGAAAAGAAAGTTGTAGGGTTAAAGAAATGTAAGTCAAGGGAAATGGAAATGGAAATGGAAAGTCAAGTTAAGGGGAAAACCTGAGAAGTTCTTTGGAGGTTCTTCTTCCGATTCTTAAAGATAAATTCCATAAAGCAAGTTGGCTCGAAGGCTAATTCCAAAGCAACAGTTCATGATAGTCAACCCCTTCATAATCTCCGATCAACTTCATCGCCTGACTGGCTCCCAACTATCCCTCGGCTCAACTCCAAGCAAGTTGCAATCCAAACAAGGGGATTATTCAGTCATCCCATTCAAGGCTCTCTCTCGACATCAAGTATATGGGGCATGTTCATGTTTCTGGCTTCGTTTCTTTAAGCTTTGGCAGCCTTTTTGTTCTGTTTGTGTTTCGTTTGGTGGCACCCCACATTTTTGAGTTGATTATTCTGTGAGCGCCCAGAAAGTTCAGCAAAACTTTTGCCCAACGCCATCAAAACAAGGCAAGACGCAGTCCCCGGACCTTTAAACCATGTGTGTAAGCCATATATTAATAATAAGCCTGTCCCAACAACGCCGGCAACATATACCAGTACACAGTACACAGAAGTACAGATGTGGTTCTTTTGGTTTCGCAAAGAAGGTATTATATATGTATATCTGAACAATAGAAAAACAATTCATTGGGTTTTACGTTGTTCGTTTACCAATTGTCGTCCTTGTACTCGTTGTTTGAATTTCTGATTCTGGTTGTGATTTTGTTTTTTTTTTGCTTTCGCTTTTTGTTAAAGTTTTCAAACTGGAAGAGTGGCTAGATTTCCCTGGAGCTTCCACCCCATTTATATATTCCCAGCACCACTCCCTCCTTGCCTAATAAGTTGCACACGCCACGCCCATGTCATGCCTTATTTAGCCTGCATTGCCCAAATGCCTTTGGCACATGCCAAGTCTGGTCTAGCATCTCGCCATCATCTGCTGCAATTTGCCCCAAAACCATGCTGCACTAGTGGGGGAGGTCGCAGCAGGGGAGAGATGGTGCTGCTGCTGTAACTGCCATCACATTTTGCATGCTTCGTTAAGCATTCTGTACACTAAACAACAGCAGCAACAGCCCAGATGGGGACATGGTTATGGGGAGAGACCTGCAGAGTATAGTTCGACTTGGCAGTATATGATAAAAGTACAATCGATTTAAGACTCGAACTTCTATCAATATTAACAATGAGGTATCACGTTCTTAATAAATACATATACATATAATCTACCTATTTAAGATCTCACGAAAGTTTCTTAAATGAAAGTACTACCTACTGAAGCTCACAAAAGTATCTAACTGCATGAGTGTAATATATTCCAGAATCAGAATTGGGTTTGTGCGAATGTACGCGGCAGACTTGTTGTTGCAGTTGTAGTTGTCTATGAAAAGTTGTGGAATGTTGTATATAAATTTTCATATCAAAGAACCAGCAGCAAAAACTTGCCACTGAACTGTCTGCCAGTCAGTCAGTCTCTCAGTTATTCAGTCAGCCAGTCAGTCAGTCAGTCAGTAGTCGGTTCAGTCTGGCATCAGGGAAAGTCTCTGGATATATATACCAGTATATATACCCCGCTTGACCCCTTATCGGCGAAGGGGATTGTTTTTCGCTGGCTCGCAAAATGAACATCTAATATCGAGACTGAAATTGATGATGCAGCCCGAATTGGATTTCGTTTTCGGAATTTCTATTTCGCCTTTGTTACTTCCGACGCAAACTGATGCGATGCGATTGCAGAGAGCGTTTCGAGGCTTTAACACTAGAGGCTGCAATATTGGATATGGGATATATATGGACTGTATCTTTATATATTTAACCGATTTACATAGCTATAAAGGGAGTCAATAACTTATGAAAACACTCTGAAATGCTAAAGAAAATGAAAACTCAAATTGACTTAATACTAGAAAATAGATAATTAACAGAAGTTCAATTTATGGTTAATTATGAAAGAGTGTCCCAATATCTTTTGCCTCGACTGTCATGCAAATCATCCTCCATTTGACTGGCAGAGATTTCAAATTTTGCCTCACTCAGCCTAAACTGCACTCCCCAGCCAGACACAAAAGACAAAAGGCCGCTAAAAAACGCTGCGGTTGCATTTAATTTTGTTTTGTTTTTGTTTTTTTTTTTTTTAGTTCCGTGAATATCAGAACACAATTTTAATCATGAACATAACAAGTAAATCTTCATATGCCTCATTTTGAACTTTTACTAATTGAATATTTTTTTCAATCTATACTTTTCAGGCTCCATCATGTTCCATGTGCGGAGACGTCCAGCTGACTCACAGCCGCGGAGACGAAAGAAGAAACCTCTGGGGGCGGCTAATGGGGCCAACCACATATCCGGCGATCGTGAGGGTCCCGTCCTGGTGGAAGTGACCCACAGCGGCGATGGTGGTCGGCGCATCAAGCTGGGCAGCGATCCCGTGGAGGTGGGATCGGCGAACACTAATTGCCTGCAGCTCTTCGGACCCTCGATCCAGCCGAGGCACTGCCTCATTTCGCTGCTGGAGGGCGTATGTACGGTGACCCCGCTGCACACCGATGCCCTGACCTTCGTGAACGGTCACCACATTAGTCAGCCGACCATTCTGCATGTAAGTTTAATCAGTCATAGGTTTTGGATAAAGAAAGTGCAGTTTCATTCCTGAAATTATTTTGAATTATCTGGAAAAGTGTGGACTTACTACGAAAAATTGTAAATACCTCAATAGGCATAGAAAAACACGGTTATAGATGTGCTCTTTATACGGCTTTTTAGCTTAATTTTTAACTAATGTTCAGTGATTTTATCATTCTTAAATCAGATCTCTACAGTGTACTTACTCATGTGCTGTTCTGGGGGCGACATTTTGTCTATTTCTTCCATTAACTAATTGCGAATAATTCGTTTTAATTAGTTAAATTTTCGTGCTCGTCACCCGAGACGTATGCTTAATTTGACAGCAGCAGGCAATGCTGCGAGGAAAGTTTTACCATCGACCTTGACCCGGTTAAAGTTTAAAGGGCTTAAAAGGCGCCTCGGCTGTTGTTTCTCCTTCTTGCTTCGCACTTTTGCGGGACTTTGAGCTGTCTGAGAAAGTCCAAGCCAATAATCGTCGAGGCTTAGTCAGGCCTTTATAGGGACTGCTTTCGAATGGAATCATCTGGGCGATAAATGAGCATTGGAATTGATTTACACTTTAAGGTTGAGCAAAGAAACAAGGAATTTAAGTCGAAAGAAGTAGAAATTTCAAGTTCTGACTGAATTTAAAGACCACTTTATATAAGGAAAATTAAATATAAAACGAGTTAAGATATAGAAAATGTAGATTTTAAATCCACCTTTTCTGAGTGTAAATTTCGTAATGTGATTGCCAGCATTTCGAAGCACCGTTGCCAAACTCAGGCCGCATTGAGTTCGGCTTTTCAATTCCCATTCATTTGCACTTCAAGTTCATTATCAGCTTCGAGTTTGAGTTGGAAAGGCAATAAAACCACCGATCCCAATGTGGCAGGCTGTATATCTACGCACACACACACACACACATCCCACCCACTTTGAGTCGCCGCTGATTTATCTTTTGTTTTGACAACTTTTCGACACACAACGGAAACACAAACAAAACGTCAGCGACAACAACATCAACAACTGGGGAAATGAATCAAATTGGCTTTCGGCGTTCTCACGCATTAGCGGAAAAGTCAAAGGGAATGCCATGAAAAAATCGAGAAAATTTGGCATAGCACTGCCGTATACGTTTTTGTGTTGTTTTAGACTTTCCGCCTGATAAATTTGAGACCAAATAAACAGGGAAAACTTGTGCTTTCCCCATCGCCGCCTGCATAAGTCCAAGGCAGAGATAAGCTCCCAGCTCTGCAATAACCTCAAACTGTCTTTGGGGAATTTTTAGGGAAAAAGAACAACATTATTCTTCTTTACTTTCTGTCATTGGCTTTGTTAGCTCCATTTTATTATGGCATGGAATTAATTCTTCTTTTCCAATTGGCAAATTGGGGTTGGCTGCGGTTCGATGAACCTGAACAAAAAGTCATGCAAATCGAATGCTCTCTTTGGGCTGACTGTGTGTCAAAGATTTGTTCGGCGGGCTAAAAGCTAATCAGCATTAGAGGGAAACGCAAACAAAAGCCGAAAGAGATAGCCAGCATCGAAAACATAAAAAATTAACACAAATCTCCACTCGAATTTCCCCCCAGAGAGGGGCGTCTCTGTTTGCCAGTTCGGATTTCAAAACGCCCCGAAAATTTTCCAATCGCTGACTAAGTGCCCCAGAATCTGTCAGTCAGTGAGCTTCACTCTTCCTTCCTTCGCAGTGTAAATATTTAACTAATAGCCGCTCTTAATTACAATTATTATTAAATCACTTTAACCCTCGTCACTTTCACCTGCAAACCTAATTATTTCATATATGTGCCTCGCCTTTGCCATCCACAGAACGGCTCGGTTGTAATGTTCGGGCGGGTGGCCTCCTACCGCTTCCTGGATTCTCCCACGGATGGACGATATAACCTGGCTCTGTCCCAGTCCCAACTGGACTCGGCATGTCTCTACGAAAGGTTAGTAATTCAGTAAGCCTTTATAGATTATCCTGATATATATATGTATGCGCCTATCTGCCAAATGCTTTGTCCTCGGCATATGTTATGTGATTGTTTTATTTTTCATTTTAATGAATTTATACCGCTTAGGCTTGATAAATCAAAGTGAATTTAAGCGGAATGTATAGCATTTTTTGTTTGGGGGAAAAACTAGGTAAATAACTTTAATCCCGCTTTGTAAGCCGCTCAACGACATCATCCTACTTTGGGAGAATTATTGCTGTCAGTAATTAAATAGAAAGTAAATATACCTCACAGATTATGATTATCCTTCATTGACTAAAATATAAATATGTAACACTCCTGAATAGAAGTCATCTGAAAATGAATAAGTTATTAGGAAGAATATTTTCCACATTTGCCATTCTGAAAGGTTAAAACCACTTAAGTTCCAAAAGGACAAACTCACGTTTTCTCTTTATTAATGACCTAGGCAATATACGACTTTAGAATTACCATATTTAGCTCTGAGAAAATCCAATTTTAAAACAATTTAATTCGCTTTAGAGGAGACATTTAAAAAAGTTGCAAATTTATTCGAGGGTGTTCCTTTCCGTATGCCACGCCTTTATTTATATTCATGTTTTTTGTTTTTTTGTTTTATTTACACGCCTTATTTTGTGCTGTTCGTTTATGTTTCGTTACGTGTTGTTTGTTTTTATTGTTTGTGTAAAACATTAATCTCATGCACTCACCAAACCGAAAAAATTACCCAACAAATATGCAAAACAATTTGCACAAACCACACACACTCACCTGAACACCACCCACCATCCGGCAACCCAACGATGCAAAACACCGCCTGGACAATGGCAGCCGCTCGCCCACATCCCCGGGATCGTGGAACGACGAGGATGGAGCCCTGAGCTCGGTGGGTATTTCATTTAAGAATTTGTCTATTTGCATTTTTAATAACTATGAATCTTTGTGTAGACCCACAAGAGTGACTATGATCACCACCAGCAGTCGAACCAATCCAGTGCCTACCACAATAACAACAACAACTCCAGTGACCATCCCCTGAGCAGCACTCTAAGGGATGTGGTGGACAGCAAGGGTGGACAGGATCAGGCCATCTCTGGCAACTACGATGGCCAGAGCCTGGAAGGCAATCTGGAGAACGAGACGAAGTCCATTTCCAGCATGAAGTCAGGTGGTTCCAACAGCCAAGATCGGTAAGATTTCAATTTAATACAGCATCTACTTAATCTAAACTCTAAATTCTATCTTCAAAGCAAACAGGAAAGCCAACACAAGCTCCATACACGAATCTATCAAAATATGCATATTCATTCACTGTCTGATTAACTTTTAATTTCGTTCAATATTTTGTGTGCGCTTTAAGTTTATGCCAATGTCTCAACTGCTTATCTTAGTCGTTAGTTTAATATGTCTCTCTGTTGTAATGTGTCTTACTAATCGATTAACCCTCTTCGATACATAGGTCACCCAAAATGGCCGGCTCTGGTATTTTGGCCGGAGGCGGCAGCGGTTCCGGCGATGCCCAGGGACAGGAGCCCATCCTGCCGGCTGTCCTAGAGTTCCCCGAAACCCATCAGGAACTCTTTCTGCGTCACATTATCAGTGAGCTGGACGTGAATGTTCCGCACTTTAAGCTGGCACCCGTCTACTCGCTTTACCTGTGTGCCAGGTGGGTAATTCATTATGGGGACCACTTTGATGGGGATGAGCATGATTAAGAGCTGCCACTGCGCTTGTTCCGCTTTAATTGTTGTTTGAATGTTTCGGTGCACTTATTAAATAGAATACTAAAACTTGGGAAGCTTCCAGAACATGATGGGTCGTTTGGTCAGTATGCCAAACATTTTCAACTACCGAAAGTTCCGCGATCTATATAAACAGCCCTAAGTTAGGATGTAAATGTAAATAGAGATGGTTTAGGATCTGGGAATGAACATATTAAGCATTCCTTTCACGGCTCTATAAGCATTAAACCTTAGTTAAATAACTATCTGAAAAGTAAAATGAGTCTGTTAGGAATAACATATCCATTTAGTTCAACATTTTAATCGACTTACTCGACTTACACCGTCTCTCATCAATTGAAGATGAAGTGACTAGCACCATTCATCTTCATATACTTAAACAGCTTCCAATGGGATAGATATTAGAGATGACCTGACTTACTTAACCCCAAACCCCATTGGTTTCGTGTGTGTCAGATTTCGAAAGCAATCTGCCCTTCGATGAGTCCATTTATATTTCAATTCCAAAATCAAAGCTTCATTTAGCAAGACCCCAAGGACATGGACAAATTACAGATGGACCGAGACCAACTAACACCAGCTGACAAATGTCCGGACATAAAGTGGACGAACATGTTCCAGTGGGCAGTACTTGCACATCCTCTCGCCCCTCCAGCTTGAGCTTCCCAAGCAACAGCCAGTATCAACAATTCATTATCAATTATGATGATTTATCTTGGCTGCTGACCCAATTTGTGAGCTATTAATATTAATGTTCTCTGACAGCGGGATGTGCAGGGAGCAGGGAAAGGGGAAATGGCCGGGCTGAAACAGCAGGAGCAGGAAACTAGCCAATCATTTGGGGGAAAGCGAACTTTGACATTTGACGGGCGTGAAAATCAATAGACAAAAGAGGGGTTACTATACTACATGGCTCTTTAATAATTACCGCTTAAAACATGATTTTCCTTTTCCACAGATATCGAGCGTCCACACACTATCGCCCCGAATTGCAGCCAACGGAGCGTGCCCACAAGCTGACCATGTTTCTGCACCATGTGGCCAATCTGGTCTACAGCGTCGTTCAGGAGCAGTACACGGATCCCCGAATCCTGGCCTTCTGGATGGCCAACAGTTCGGAGTTCCTGCACTTCCTTAAATCAGATCGACACATCAGCGCCTTCAGCGTTCAGGCTCAGGAGGTTTTGGCCGAGGCCGTCCAGACCGCGTTTCGCAACCTGGTTAATTGCTTCCGAATGGAACTCTCGCAGACCCTCAACCAGTTTCTCTCCGAGAACATCGACCACGATTCGGCGGCGGGTCTCGTCCTGACAGTCCTGGGATCCGCAATGGCGCTGCTCAGACGCTGCCGTGTAAACGCAGCCCTGACGATTCAGTTGTTCTCCCAGCTGTTCCACTACATCAATGTCATATGTTTCAATACGGTGAGCGGCCTAAGATGGCCAGGTTTATACCCACAGTGGTGCCAACTGTAGACTTAGATAGATGAAAATGTGTTAGTTGGCATCACTGATAACCCAACTTCTCCTTCAAATCCACTAATTTCTTTGCATTCCTTATACCAGATTGTGGCAAATTCCCACATGTGCACAGCTGATTGGGGCAAGGTGATGACGGAGCGTCTGCAGTTGCTAGAGCTGTGGGCAGAGCGCCAAGGATTGGAACTGGCTGCGGACTGCCACCTGGCCAAAATCAATCAGTGCGCGCAGTTCCTGCAAGCACCGAAGTCCTCTGTGGAGGAGATCCAACAGTTGGCCTGCTCCTGCTTCCGCTTGAACTCCCTGCAGATGGCAGCGTTGCTGCAGCAGGAGAAACTGCCTCGGAACCTGGTGGATACGGCCATAAGAATGGCTGAGTCTGTGGCCGACGAGCTGACCCGTGCCGATGGACGAGAGGTTCGGTTGGAGGAGTCACCTGAACTGCACTTGGCGCTACTGCTACCCGACGACGGATTCAGCTGTGATGTGGTGCGAGGCATCCCAACCGGCCTTGTCGATTTCCTCAACCCTCTCCAGCAGCAAGGCATGTGTCGTCTGGCGGCTCAGCCCACCTCGATTGGTCTGTGGACTGTCTACATGCATCAGTTTAATGTGAGTCCATTGGAGAATAATTTGATATTTTTTATTAATCATCATCATTATCCATTGTAGGCCCGCAGCTCCAGTGCCATGTCAAACAAGCTGCCCCAGCCGGAGATACAGCTGATTAAGCTGCACAAGAACAGCAACGGCATGGGCTTATCCATTGTGGCAGCCAAGGGAGCTGGTCAGGAGAAGCTGGGTATCTATATCAAGAGTGTGGTTCCTGGCGGAGCGGCCGATGCAGACGGAAGGCTGCAAGCTGGAGATCAACTTCTGCGCGTGGATGGACAGAGTCTGATAGGCATCACCCAAGAGAGGTATGGACATGTAGTTCTCTTGAAGATTTGTACTCTAAATGAGTTTCTTGTTATAGGGCTGCGGACTATCTGGTGCGAACGGGTCCAGTGGTCAGTTTGGAGGTGGCCAAGCAGGGAGCAATCTATCACGGGCTAGCTACGCTGCTTCAGCAGCCCAGTCCGGTCATCCAGCGTGGTGAGTAGCTCCCAACGGAGCCCACTGTTAGACACATACATATCAATACAAAACACACACATTAGAGCGACTCCAGGTGCTGGGTAGGACGCTAAGAACACTCAACTCACTCAGTCATCCAAGATACTCACCCACTTCTCTACTCTACCGTACTCACATTGTGTAAGCTAACCAAGTAACCAACCCATCCCCCATGCTGCTCCGCTCGAATCGCTAGAAGCTTCCCCCAGCAACTTTCTTCAGCATCTGAATCCTGGCCAGCAGCGCCGCCACTCGTCATTTCAACAGCAGGCTCGTTACTACAACAACTCAATCTCAGACGATAGTCTCAATAGGAGTCGTCGAGAGTCCTTTGCCTGCATGCGGGCTTCCTCGCCGCCAGTGAGACGTTTAAGTGCCTCATGTCTGCAGGAAGAGCTGTGTGCCCTGGGTCACCAGTTGCACATCGATCCGAGGTATCGGGATACTAGACCCATTGCCCGATCTGCCAGCAGTTTGTACTTGGGGAACGATCAGGGTGGGTACTATCATCCACCGCCGGCGGCTCCATCTGTTAACCACTTTAGTCCGATGAGACCGTTGCGAAGGACTCCACCACCTTCCATCTACATCGAGGAGTACCAGGATGAGCCGGCGAAGGACTCGCAGGAATCGTTTGGAAACTTTGCCGCCTATAGTGATGCCCATCAGCCCCTTAATGAAGAAGGCATAGCCTCCATGGCTCATTCAGATGAGATTCCGTTCATAGATGACGAAGAGGAGGAGAAGCAGCAACAACAGCGACCTTGCATGTCCAACTCCAGTTGTTCCTCAACTGTAAAAAGAAATCCTGCAGCCGGATATCGAAAAACAGTTAGTTTTGATCTAGAGCAAGCCTCAGATGCTGAACCAGGAGCTACTGGAATCGATAGGAAATACCACACCCACGATGCCATCAGCCACTTTGCAGCCAGTGCCTCCTCCACTGAATCCCTGATGGCAGAGCAGTCCGAAAGGATTCCCTTAATTCAAAAGATACGAAGAGAGTTAAATAGCAAGAGAGCAACCAACTGCTCCGCAGATGGTTTTAGTTCCGGAGGTTCCGGGTCCAATAGCCAGCGTTCGTCCAGCGAGTCCATCGAGCGCATGCCGCTGCTCCGGCAGAATCAGTCTCCCTGTCAGCGGCAACTGAACACCCAGCGCTCACACAAAAGGTCAGGAGTCGCTCCGGCTGCCCCAATTGTCAGCATCCAAGTTCCTAGTGTGTGTGAAATCGAAAGTTCCTCCACCCGTTCTCCTACTGTAAATACAAGCAATCGATATTGTGCCAGCACCACCTCAAAAACCAAAAACATTCCCAGCACCACAATGCAAGCAAACAGCCGCCGGGCCAGTAGCCAGGTGAATCTCAGTCCCCGCTTTTTGTTGCCTCTCGGTCAGGGGAAGGTCCGAGAGATGGCAGACTATTTCAACGCGAACAAGAACTTCCCGCCCAGCATTAATAAATCCCGATCCACGTCGGCCTTGGATGACCCCGGCAGCAAGCCAAGTGCCAAACTATCAGAGGCCGAACAGGGCCACATCCTCAAGCAGCTGAAGGAGTGGAGTCTTTATGGCAGTGCGGGCAAGGACTATGGTGAGACGGAAAAGTCGGTTGATAAAATCAGCTGCGACTGCCCCTGCTGCGGTCATTGTCGCGGCAGCAAGAACCCCGACCAAGAGCAGCAGCAAGATAAACAGCAGGTAGTTGCCACCTTCAAGTGCTACGACAGTTGCCAGGACGACGAGGCGGAAAAGACCAAACAGAAGCCGGAATTATCCCGATATGCCAGCTGCCGCCGGAGTGTCATGTGCAGCAATCGCCAGGCGCACAGTCTGCGGCAACTGAAGCGCAACAAACAGCAAAAGCATGTGCAACTCAAGGCTAAGCCCAGCTCACATCCTGCTCGCCATCGCCATCATCACCATCACTGTCACAAGCAGCCACGCCCTCGAGCGCCTGCCTCACCGCCCTCCTCGGCCAAATTGCTGTTGTCCCTGGCCAGCAGTAACAGCAACACCAAGAGCAGCAGCAGCAGCAGCAGCACTATGCGGAATTCAAAGAGCTGTCCAAATTGCGGAGACGCCACTGATGATTGCCACTCCTGCAGCTGCAGCGAAGCCGAGTCTTGTTCCTCGGCTGGTGAATCTTCCTCCAGCTGTTGTGCTGCTCACTGTGAAGTCCTCGATATCCATGGTCATTCCTTCGGGGGCGATAATGATGGCGATGAGGGTCGTGCACGACCTGTGGACGGTGGGGGGCAGTGTGTCAAAATGCCATTGCCCAGCTCAATGGGAACAGCGTCAACAACAGTGTGTCCGATTCGCAGATGACAACCCAACCAAGCTGCACCGAGGTTCATGTTGTTTCCGTCGTTGTTGTACTTATTACCCTTTGTTTTTGCCTGCTTTTATGAATAGATTTGTTTTGGCTTATCCGTTTGAATTTTCTACTCAGTTGTAGGCTGTAATTTTATTATTTTTTGGCTTAAGTAATTTCAAAAAGTGAATCTTATTCCAGTATTTTCCAATATCGTTATTGTAAATACTTATTATGGGTATTGTGAATTGACTGACTGATGTTAAAGGCGATATAAGATAGTTAGAGCATTATATCAAGCTTATATTGCTCTAAGAAGCCAACCCAAAAAGTAATTTATCAATTTTGTACATTAAAGTTGATTAGAAGGCTTTGGAGAGTTGATTTATTTTAATTTTCAGGTGTTTCTGCATCCCCTTTTGCTTCAGTTTGATTGCAGCTGCGTTGACCTTTTCAATTGTTGAATTTTCCTCTTTTTCCCCTCTTCCTTTTGTATTAAATATTTATATGTAAAGAGCGATAATATTGTTTACTTTTTATGAGTGTAAATACATAGTTTCAGCTTTAATCCTCCGTTTGTGTTTGTTGTAGTTTGTAATTAGATTTCGTATGCATAGACTAATAATATACTAAACACTCTTCGCAACTGGACACTGAAAGGAATTTACTAAAATGTCAAACTGTCTGCCCATCTATTTTTCTCCCCCTCCATGTGCACCAACCAACCAACCTTAATTCCATCACCAACTCTCAAATCCCCAACTGTGCACTCGACTCGCTGACGTTGATGATGGCGATGATGATGATGTTGCTGGGAACATGGAAACCGCAGGTAATCGACGTATGTCCGAACGCGATCTGACGCGGATGGGCGGCGCCGAGTCAACCAAATCCCTGGGTCCCTTGATAGCCAACAGTCATCCGAATCATAGCCTCAGTCTTAGCCAACATCTGAACAACAGCCACAACAACACCATAGGCAACAGCAACAATAGTAGCATCATCAATCCCTTAGCTGCACACCTGCCCAACAGCAAATCGGTGCCGGCTCTGCATCACCACACGGGATCGGGTACCATATGTAAGTGAACTGCACACCCTTTATCCCATCCTCCTGCCCTGTAATCGTAGCACAATCCAATCGACTCGTAAGCCAGAGACTAATTCATTTTTCTCTCCCCCATATGCATCTCGTTCTCCACTTAGCCCTGGCCAATTCCAAGTCACGCAGCACGCACAGTTTGCATAACAATACATCGGGCATGGGGGGCATCGGCGGGGCCGGAATGCTGGGTCAGCCAAACGGAGGTCACAACAATGCAAATGGAAACGGCAATGCCAACGAGCAGGGATTCTATCAGAATCTCAGCGTGTATCGGGCACAGAATCAAAGCCAACCGATTCTGAATGAAAGGTAACGTATTAATTATTGAAGATAGTTGGGTAATGTCTGTTACTTATTTTGTTAAGCTCTGTTTAATCTCAATCTAACTGTAATTGTTCGGGTTTCTTAAGTTGCTGATGTGACTTTGATTTGTTCGTTCTAAACACATCAGTGTCATTAAGTCATAATCTATAAACCCAGATAAAGATACCCCTAATTATAAAATTCAGATTGCATCAGAAGTGTTAGTAAATGTGAAACGATGATTTTAGGCAAAGTAACTATTTAAAGAATTTTCTACCTATATTAGCAAAATTATTAAAAATATTAAAACATTTATAACTTTACAAGTCACGCATGTGCCATATTTATACAGGAAGTTGAGGAATTTAATTCAAGTCATTGGGGTTTCTTTAAATCACTGTTGAGTAGATCAATGCGAATGAATTTATTTCAAGTAAAAGTTATGGTAATGATCATTCAACTTCTATTAATTTGGTTTATTGTCTTGATCTGTTTATATCAAGTTAAAAGATCAACTTCCAGGTTTATTAAATTGAATAGTTTAAAAAATATAAACTTCTCTAGTGGTAAGGCAGTTAATAGTTTTCAGCTTTCACTTCGATGAATGCTTTAACTTCAATGTGTTTCGCTTAAAACACAAACTCTCACTTCACAAGGAAACCCAAAAGAGCGAGTCAAATTAATAATTTACAAGGATTTGGAGAAGGATTTTTGGGGTGTTGCTCGAGGCCAGGTGAAGTGTGTGTGTGAAGGTGTGTGTATGAGGGTGTGGCCACAGGAGTGCGTGCAGTTAGCTCTCATTTTTTCTAACTCTCGTGTGTGTAATTCTAGGGTGACATTGCGTTTAAAGAAATTACTTTATGGCTTTATACCCATTAAGAAAGAATATGAACTTGTAGAAATGTCCCAAGTACGTGAGTAATTAGCTGCTGTCGTTCCTTTTTAAATGTTGCTGCTGTACAGAGGCACGCACCTTTGCAACAAACACACACCACTTGTTCAGGAACAGAAGGGAGAGTGAACAAATGTTTTCGAAGCACTCCACACGTTTTAGTTAATTAGTGTGAGCGATGAAGTTTTTGTCGCACCACAAAAGCAACAGCCAAAGCACCCTTGATTCCGTGGCTCTTATTAATATTAATGCCTTTCTTCTAGACCGCCGATTGCCGCACATGCCGCCATGAGCGCCTACAATGGCAATTCCCCGCTTGCGCCACAGCAACAAGCACAGCAGCAGCAACAACAACAACAGCCATCGCCCTACCAGCAGCAGCAACATCTGCAGGCCAATGCTAACCTGCCGCCTACTCGACCCGTCTCTGCCTATTACCACAGCCAGCAGACGGCCCAGCAGCAACTCCAGCAACAGCAGCAGCAACAACAACAGCAGCAACAGCAACAGCACTCTCTGCAGCAGCAACAGTTCGCACTCAGCAGCAGCAATCTCAATGGCCAGCAGCAACAGCAACACCAGCTCACCTTGAACAATCGCACCAAGAGCCAGCAGAATTTCCAGCACACCCTGCGCATGCAGCAGATGATGGCACCTTCAATGCCCAACATCAGCAACATGTACCACCACCAGCAGCAGCAACAGCAGCAGCTGCCCTTACAACAGCAACAGCAGCAGCAGCAACCTCTGATGAGCAGCAGTCAGAGCATGCAGAATGTCAACGATTTCACAGGTGGCTATCAGAACGGCAGTTTGGAGTACAGACGCAGTCAGCTGCATGACCCAGCCGCGCTCTATGATCTTCAGCAGCAGCAGTTGCAACAGCAACAACAGCAACAACAGCAGCAGCAGCAGCAACAACAAGCTTCGCCTAACTTTATAGCCTTGCCTCCGAAACCTTTGGGCAGCCTACAGTCTCCCAACAAACCGAATGCTCCACCAAGTACGGCACCCAAACCGCAGCAGCAACAGCAGCGATATCTTGGTCAATCACTGCTGGCGGAGGACAAGCCCCCATTGCCACCAACCGCAACCCATCCGCTATTCAAGGCAACGCAGCAGATTGCTCCGGGCATGAATTACGTGGCCAGCACCTTGGATCCACCAAAGGGCAGCTACGTGGCGTCAAACCAAGCAAACAACCGTCCTCTTCACAGCGGAAGTAATCCCTGGGAAAGGGAGGAGCGTGAAAAGGATTTGGAGATGCGGCGCGAACAAATTCGCCAGTGGCGGGAGCAGCAGATATCGGACCTCTCCCAGATCATCTCACGTTCTGCTATGCAAGAAGAGCAATTGAAAACCTTGATCCTAGAGCGAGATTTCGAGCGAAGGGCACAGGAGCTGCAAGAGCAGGAGGATCAGGATCAGGAGCAGCAGTATGACAAGGAGAACGTGCAGGAGCTATTTAGACTGGCTGGCGGTGGACAAGTCAGTGCCATACAAACACCCATCACCAGTTACCGACAGACAGAGATCAAGCTGGCGGAGATTACTGACGGCAGCAGTCCGGTGGACTCAGTGCCAGCACCACAGCCACCAGTTCCGGCTGCCCAGCCATTAAGCAGCAACACCCAGCAGCCGAAGAGCATACTCAAGCATAATCGGTACTCCGAAGGAGGAGTGGGTCCCAGTGGAGCCCCTTCATCTCCCTCGAAATCACAGAAATCCGCAAGCTTCGCGGATGAGAGGCATCTGCACACGGAGCATCCGATATCGAATTTGGCAAAAGAGCTCAATCAGCTGTCGATGCTCGATAAAGATAATAACAACGAGACCTTGGATGCCGTCATTCCTCCTCCACCTCCACCGGAGAGAAATAGTTCTTACTTGATCATGTCGCAGCAGAAACTGCGGGGCAGCACTGGAAACACCACCTCGTCCATGGGTCTGCTCAAAACGGCCACTAGTAATCAGGCAGCAACGGCAACCGTTGAGATAAAGAAGGCTTCCCTTCTGAACACCCAATCCAATAATAACAACAACTTAAGTGGCAGCTTGAACAATAACACCATGCAGGGATCGCCGCTTAGCGCCATGGAACTGAATGCCGCCTATGTTTCGGCCACTGGAACTGGAATGGTTGGAGGATTGGGCACACCACCTCCACCCCCGCCATTGTTGCAGAGGGACAACAAGCGGGTCAGTTTCCACGATGAGGAGAACAACTTTGTGAGCGGGAATAGCCAGCAACAGCAGTTGCAGCAGCAATACATCATTGACAACTATGGCGTGGAGCATCAGGACTTGGACACCATCAGAGAAGATGCGAGTGTAAGTGCAATCGTTTTGAATATTAAATATAGATAATCGATATCATATTCTTTTTAAAACTTATAGTATCTGCAGCACAATATTGATGCCTCCATGCTACCATTGATGCCAGCCACACCCGATGCAGCCCTCTGGAATACCTCAGTGCAATCTACGCCTGGAGTTATTGGGGCGCAAGAGGTGTACAGGTATGACTAACTTCTAAACTGTCCTGTGTAAACGACGAACTAAGTCATTTGATCTCCCTCAACAGAGATCCTCGCACTCGTCGTCTGGCGGAGAAGCAGCAACAGCAGCAGCAACAACGAGCTGGAGATGCGGTGCCAGAGAAGCTGTCGTTCAAGGAAAAGATGAAGATGTTTGCCCTGGAGTCGGGGGAGGATAACACGCCCAAGGACAAGCTGAAAATATCGCGGGCCCAGCGGGATATAGATGCGGTGCACTAGGACGGAGAGATCGTTGATTAGTGCTATGTACATACACACACCAGAACCCACAAAGCTTGCATTCTAATATACTGGGGGCCAAGTTGTTACGTTAGCTCTACACAACACACATAGATATTTAGATCGAGTTATATACTATAAACTGGAGTACGATAGACAGAAACAACAAACCTAACGAATTTGCTAAGCAAGGCAATAACAATCGAAAGTTATCGCGTTCAGAGTTAATTACCACACACAAAATGTTAACTGAATTCAATTAGTGAGAATTGTCAGTGTATATCTTTATAGTCTATATATACCTATGTTTATATATGCAAAACTATAACGAGCCTGGGGGCAACGAAAGCAAGGCGAGCCACATTTGTAAAGCGTTTTAAACATTAAATATTAAACATTAAACCTAACCCTACTATTAACGATTTGTTACATCAGATTACGGCATACGATTTATGGTTAATGAACAGTGTAAATGAGCAAAGTAAGATTAGATATACATATATTTACCTGGGAACCGTGCGGAACAAGAAACGTTTATATATAGATACTGTATCCATTAGAGAACTCCAAGCCACAACAATGTTAAAACAAATGGTCCAATTATTCAATTATTAAAGCTATATATATATTTACAAACTACGAACGAACGAGTAGTGGAATATCCAAAAGTTCACATATATATTTTTAATTATTGCAACCTTTTTAACACATTTTGAATGCAACAAAGGCGAAACCAAGAGCAAGTAAAAGTTGTTACTCAAATATGCTTAGAGAATGTACCAATTTAAATCAAATAGGATATCACTACACGAGAACCTAATGGCTTTAAACTAAATACAAGAAGGTGGCTTCGGCAAGTCGAAGATTATATACTCTTGCAGTTCAAATCATGTCGTTGTTATGATATTGTAGTCCGACTTTGGAGAATCTATAAATTGTTACCATATTATATTATTAAAAGGAGTTCCTCTCTAGATTGGAACATAGTTTGTTTATCCCCTGACCTTTGGTGATTAGCAGAAACTAAGATTTACAAACCGTAAGGAAACTTGATTAATTAACATTAAATTGTAATATATGTTTATAACAACTGGTTAAAAATGAAATAAGATCTGCAAGGGTATAGCAGCATGCACACCCATTTTCTGGATGTCATGCGAACTTTTATTGTAGCAAACAATTTATTCAAAAACCGACCACGAAGTTGACAATTTTTTTGTGCATTCCAAGTATTTCAAATCGAAACTAAATTCTTATTTTTAAGACGCGATTTATTTCTAATAAGCAACACTATTTTTTAAATAAATATTAAAAATCATAAAACAAAATAAATATGCAATCGATGTACGAATAACTTCTGTAAAAAGAGATGCGTAAATTTTCGTTTAGTTTCACTTTAAGCGTGTTTAGGTTTAAATATTAAAATGATATATATATATATATATATATAATACAAACAATTTCAGCAACCCAATTGTGCATATTTATGAGAAATAAAAGTTAATTATATGAAAATCAAAATGAAGTGAAGTCTGAAATGGGATAACCTGATTTTTTAACTCCAAAACAATGATTCCAAAAAGATTGTAGACGTGGAAGAGAGTTCGAACTTGTTTTAGAAACAAATCGTAGACTACAATTTCGAAATTAAATTGGAAAAGACTTTTTCCATTTAAACTGTAAAAAAGCTAAACTCCTGTGGTTTTTATTAGAATGTTACAACAATCAGCTGTTTGGTGGGAACAGACTTAAATTTCCCGCCAAGCTTAATTTCAAATGCCAAAGAACAGTCCTGCGCACAACCCACATACCTATAAACTGTTCCCGGGCATCAACAGGTTCGGGAATTGACCTGCCTAAATACATTTTTCATGAGGCTGGCAAAAGGCAAGTCAGGCGGCCGACAAGTTATTGGCCGCTGCCTCTGCCATGGCGGCCGGCTTAAAAATTTAAATCAAAGTTTGCACAGGGCAAATAATTGAGGGAAAAGTTTAAGAATGCCTTAGTGATTTATGCTCACACTGTAATAAAATTCGTTGCTTTTGGCTGGCGTTGAGTGAAACTTTTTCATTGCCCAAATATTTGGCCAAATTACATGCCAATTTAACGGGCACCCCAGGAAAACTTGTTACATGCTTCCATTGCTGCCTTGTCAAGAATACCCCAAAAAATGACATTTCAACCAGGTCGTCCCTTAAACTGCACACTGGGTCTCTAACCGTGCACTATGGGAAATATATAAACACAAAACCTTTTTCTTTCAGTGGGTTTCAGTTCAAAAACTTTAAACACCTGTCCCATAACATAGCATAAAGTATTAAAACGGAACATTTTATAATAAAATAGGAAACAAATCAGATATTTGAGAACTCGCAATAATCATTGAGTTTAGAGTTTTTAGAATTAGAAATCTATACCTAAAGTACCTCTTATCTATTTGTGCCAATATTGCCAATATAAAAACCGGCCTTGAAATGATTATTATGAGTGATCATTGGCTAAAAGCAGTGATGGCTTAGAATTCGTTGAAAAGCCCCAACTCCCACGCATTTTCCTTAAGAGCCAAGTCAAGTTTCTTTGCCTCCCGACCGGTGTCCGCCCACAATATAATTTAAAAGTCAAGCGGCAAACTTTAACCACTTGCTGCAAACAGGACTTAGCGAAGCCAAGACCAAAAATCACGAGCCTTGCCCGCCGGCAAGGTGAACTGGCAATATAAGGGCGTGGGTGTTCTTAAAGCGCCTCCGAGGGAAATATCTTGGGGCGTCGCGTGCACGGACCAAATTCATTTTTCAACAGTTTGCCATGTGAATTATTAAAATCCGCCAATCTCTTTGATACGGCCACAACCGCCGGGGGATTGGGCCCATAATCAGTTGGCTGAGCGGAATGAACTTTAAGAAATTGTTGACAGTTGGCTGCAAGGCATTCGGATTGCCATCCGCGGAATTTTTCAATATTCGCGAAAGCTAATCCCCCGCAGAATCTGCTGCCGATCTGCTGCTGTCAATATCCTCCAGCTGGCGGTCGCCACACCGCAAAAGCAACAGGGAAAACTGCAGGAAAACTGCGGGCCAGCCGCAGAGCGAAAGAAAAATATGAACTGTGGGCAAAAGTTTCAGGATGCGGCGGCAATGGAGGCTATGGCGAATAAATCAAAAAGTGATTAGCCCAGTCTCCGCTCCCAGTCCCCTCCTTTCTCAGCCCCAAAGGTTCTTCCTTTCTCACGCCATCTGTCCAGTTGTAAATTGTCTGTTGAGTGGCCGAAGGAACAGGGCCAGAGGCTGGGGACCAAGGTGTGCGAGGATGGAAATGTGGGCCAACTTCTAGCGGGGAAATTCAAACTTGGCCATAAAACTTTCGCCACATCTTGGCCACGGTTGCTAAGGCTCTTTTCTCTGGTCAGTGGCGGTTTGATAAATGAGCAGCGTAAAGTGCGCGGGCAATCAGAAAAATCGCACGAAATTATAGTTTGCCAGGCCATAAAACAATGGCCAAGGCGAAACAATGGCCAAGACAATGGTAGTTTTTCTCAATTCCTACCTTTTTCTTTGTACTGTATTTGCGTGCCGGCTTAGTGGACGCTCTTCTCTTCCTCCTTGAGTTATGACAGGTTTTTGTATTTGCATTTGCATTTTAAAATATACAGATACTTTTCCGGCAAGAAATTAACACAGGGGAAGGATTTTCAGGGGGTGAATTCCATTTAAATAAGTGAGGATTGGGGTTAAGATGCTAAACTTGGTCATCAGAGGCGGGAAAGAGCATTAGGGAAGCAATTTCTAAAGCTAAAGCTGGGCATTAGCGGGGCCATATAAAATGTAAATCAAAGTGCCAGGCTCGACGTTAAAAGAGAATTATGTCATTAATGATTGTAAAGCTGTGAACAATTTAAAAAGCGTTAAGGATTGAGTTTTATGTTTCAATTAAAACAGAATTCCTTTAGAATTACTAGGTTATCCCCGGTTTTGTAACATCTTTCTAAATACTTAAGTCTTTCTTATTAGATTATATTTTTTAACATTTATTTAGTTACTTTCCGTTTTGTAAGCTGTGTTAAGCTTAATGAAAGATTTGAATTCTCTGATAGTGGATAAGCAATACAAATAGTCCTTTAGGAGGGAGTTCTTAAGGGTCTTTACATTGCTAATCATAAGTTGAGAACAAATCAGAAAACCTCTGAAACACCAACATTTCCAAAAATTAGTCGAATCAGTCACACCTTACATAAGACGCCTTAGGCTTTATTTACGCAAATAACAAATAAATGTTCGTTACTCGGAATTAGATGCCTAATTTATCTCTTAGTTAACTAGACCTAGTTACTAGAGTAAAGGAAAACATTTAAGTCTAGAATTTGTATAAAAATGCTGTTTATATTCGGAAAGTTGAGCTTAGACCTTAAGAAGTGTCAGCGGAATAAACAATGTCGTCTTTTGAGTTTAGTGTAAGTGCAAATTACCTAGAAAACATATAATTAAACTTATGTCTTAGACAAAACACCCCGATCGGATGATAATTCCAGCGCTCTCCATTATAGGATTTCCACCAGCACAACTCATGTCTTGTTCAGGGCCACCAGAAGGAAGATCAGCCACTGGTGGAGACTGCTGTAGCCATGGCCTAGTCTATGCAGGCCAGCAGCTGTTGACTTTATGGCAGAGGCGGAGTACTCCCCTGGAATGAGATTTCGCTAATGAGTATTTTAATTCAAAAGTATATTATAAAGCTGTTTTTAATGTGTTTTCTGTGTTAGAAGAAGATTCTAACTTCCAGAATGTTGAACTGAAGCCAATTAGCGACACCTACCGCTCAGGACATGCAACTGCATGGAGACTGCCGCACTGTTTTCCGGCTCACATGTGTAGTTGCCGGAGTGAATCTTGCGCACCAGGGGAATGACCAGGGAACCAATCTGCAAAATCGATATTCGTGAGAAATCCTCTTAAGAATTCCAGTTTTGCCCAAATCCACTCACCGTGTTCCGATTATGCTCGGTGCTGCCGAAGATATTCCTGTCGATTTGCGTGTACCAACCGCTCTGGGCACCGCTGGCCTCGTTTTCGGCCGTTACTTGTTGGTCTCCTCGGTACCAGAATATATATTTGGGAGCCTCCAGGGTGCCACGTACGATGCAGTGCAGTTCCACCTTGCTCCCGGCCTTCACAAAGCGCTGTCGATCGCCGATTAGCTCGGTCCTGGGTGCTGTGGGTGGCGATAGAGGATTAGCATACAATGTTTGTGTCATGTCGCCTTCATCCAATTTTGACCAAGGATGCTGGCACGCTTTAGAAGCAAAACATTTCTGTCTTTGTAGGACGAAAAACTACCTTTTTAATTACGAAAATCTTTAAAAAACTTTAAACTTGTATCTAAGTATCTGAATATTATTCAATAAGCTCAAATAAAATTGACTTAACTAGGATTTTATCCCATTATTTTTCTTTCTGTGTAGCACAATTTGTCTGTTAGCAGTCGTTTCACTTACTTATCACAAACAGCTGCACCTTGGCGCTCATTTTGGGCTCCGTTGCCAGCTGGCACTCGTACCAGCCTGCGTCCTCCAGCTTCACATATTTGATTTGCAGCGTCCAGCTGAGACTGCTGCCGTTGCCCCTCTCTTGACCCACTGCAGAGGTGGAGGTGTTTCCCGGGGCAACCGAGGGGGTCACCGATGCTGAAACGGCAGCCCCTGTTACGGTTGTCGTCGAGGTGGTCGACTGGAGCAGCGATGCAAACCGGGCATCGTTGATGAAGGTTGTGTGATCCACCGCAATGATATGTTCATCCCGCAAACGAACCCAAGAGAGCGGTTTTCCGGAGTGCTGGTTGAGCTGCAGGGGGAAAAAGTATTAGAAAATCTTTCGTGTTGAATTTAAACTACGAAATAAAAAACTAAAAAAACTGATTTGAATCCCCTTTTTCCTGAATATCTTGGTAATTTCTCAAAGATACGAATATATTATATATTTAGATATATTTTCATTCCTTCTTACAAAGTTATATATTATATAAAATAAACTACAGCGTTTCCCACATCGTGCAGAGTGATTTCTATTTAGAAAATATTTTATCGAAGAAGTATTTCCCTATTATGAACTTGAACTACATTGATTTCTTTGAAAAGTATTTTAAATATCAATAAATATTAAATATTTGTGAACAGAAAATAGGTTCTAAACTTTTTCGAAGCATGGAAAATTCTTCCTATTTGGTAGGAAAGTTTTCCGAGAACGAAAGTCTGCTTCTCAATGTAGCCTGCTAACTCGGCGCTTTCAATTACGTCACTCAACTGGATGGCTACCCATTGTCCCCACTTGGCCCTCTGAGTCCACACCCAGCCCCCTCTGCCACTCACCTTGCAGGGCAGATAGGCATGATGGCCAGCTTGGACGGTGGCGTTCAGCGGAGGCAGACTGAGCTGGCGACGTGGCAGGAGCTCCCGCTCCTTGGCCAGCTCCTTTTCGCGGCGCAGCTGCTGGGCCTTTTGTTCGCTGTCGTACGCGTGCAGACGGGACTGCTCGTAAGCCTTAGATGGCGTCGGACTGCCGGATGGGCTGTTGTCTGCAGGAAGCACAGCTCTCGATGAGGCATTCCGCTGCAGGTGCGGCAAATCGGCGGGAATAAAGTCCGGGAAGGGCGGCAAGTACGTGGGAATCGAAAAGCCCTTTGTTAGCGTTGCAGTGTCGGGTCTGTCGCTCCAGGAATCCACCACTGTGCTGTCGCCATCCTCCTCCTGCTGACCGTCGCTCAGCATCAGAACAGGAGATTCCGTCGATCCCATGCCCACCGCCATTGTGGTTGTCCCCGTCGCCGGCGGTGCAATTAGCGATGCGTTCTCCATCGGAGTAGCCGTGGCTGCCAGAGCTGCAAAATAGGTCAAGAATGATGGGCAGCACATCAGTTGGCGGACCTTATCGAAGTTTTCCCTGCACAAATAATTATTTCAGGCTTCTGCCAAACTGACAAACAAACGAAACGCAGCTGTCATCTGAGGGCTGTGAAGAGTTTTTAACGGAAGTTCGGCGGATGGAATACCCTTTATGCTTTTTATTTGCGTTTAGGGGGCTTACTTACCGAATGAGTTGATTTTATATTTTATTATGTAAAATTATTTTAATTTAATAATTTTAAATTTCAAAATATATATAAAAACAAGTCAAGTGAGTAACAATTAAGATAACACATTTTTGAATTATTAATTAAAGAAGAATGAAAAGAAGATTTGAAAAAAACAAATCGTTAAAAAAAAAGTATAAAAATCTATTGATTGGACCAGCATTTCCATTCAAAACATTTAAATTCAAGAAATGAAGTCAATTTGTATTTCTAAGTAAAGCATTTTTATTGGCTTATTGAGAATGCCAAAGCGAATCAAAGGGTAAATAAAGTATTAAAACTGGGGAAAAACTGTTTGTTATCTCCCACCATAAAATTAAGCGCATTAGGCAAAGCTCTTTGAGTATTATTAATTGACAAATGGCGATATATTTTAGAAAATATATACATTTTGCGGCAGCATATTGCAATCCATCATGGAAAATGCAAATTTATTTGCTTAGGGCCTTTGGATCGATTGCATTTCAGGTCAAGTATTGGGGGTTTTGGGATGTTGGATTGGTTTTTCCGGGGAGCCAAGCCATCTCCCAATTGATGGGGGATAATTCGTGTGAATTTCCATTTTGTCACACCAGCTGCAGTTCTCTGGGGGCACTGGGGAATGGTGCTCAGGCGGTAATTATGAACTGGAAAATCATGAAAAACTGAATTCAATTTGTAAAATAATTTGATGATGGCATTTAGATAAAGCGGAGAGGGATCATTTTGATGGACAGTGATGCTTATAAAATATTTGTGAAATTTATAAATTAAGAGGCTTAGCTGACATGGGATCCACGACCGCAGTCAAAATAGTTTGATTTGGTTTTATTTGTTTAGATATGTATATGAATCCATATGTATATATCAGTATCTAATATCCAGTGTCAAATAAACTTTTAAGGGCTAATGATTATAGAAGTGTCTGTCGTTTTGAAACTGTCTTAAAAAGTATCTTCAAGTGAATCTCTTTTCTAGCCCATCAAGAGTCATAAAAGATAATGCGGTTCCTAATATTAAATATTAAACAAATACAAATTAACATTTCCATATTCCAGAGACCATTGCAATAAACCTTTTTTGTTTAACAATAATAATAAAATATATATGTTAATAAGGCGGGAATGCATTATAAAATGAAATTCCCGAAACGACAGCTGGGCCCGGAAGATTGGAAGAGGGCCACTGCGGAAGCCTCGTAACAGAGCAATCTTTGCAAGATGTGCCACAGACTAGAGACAGACCGGAACGATTACTCAGACTGGCTCTGGCCGTTTGTTATCACTGCCACTGACACTGACTGTCAGCCGGGACGCCGAGAGAAATCACTTTGCTTGTAAGTGGAGTTTGCGGCTTGGAGCAGGAATCTCGGGACATGCTGGTGACCCAGTCGGCAGCCCGCTGGCTGCAAAGGGCGGAAGACCTTGGGGAGGAGGTCACCCGGCGCTGCCGCTCCTTTCTTCCCTCTGTCGCTCGTCTCTGCCTGGTGGCCACCTTCTTCGAGGACGCCCTGCGCATGTGGTTCCAGTGGGTGGAGCAGATTTCCTTCCTGCAGGACCACCATCAGTGCTCCCCCGTCCTTGCGGTTTCTATAGTCCTTCTGAATCTCTTGGGTCAGCTGGTGGGCTGTGCCTTGGTCGTGCTGCATCTATTTACTAATTTTGCGGTCACCCTGCTGGCCAGCCTAGTGTTGCTCCAGGTAAATGTCACAGAAGTAACTTTAGCTAACTTCCTAAATTTGAATATTAATAATTGTTCTTGATTTTAGTGCAGTTTAATTTATCATCATATTATGATAAATGATTTGGATTTAAAGTTTAGAATCCTTCGTTTCAGGTTCACATCTATGAAGTGCCCCTCCAACTGAAGTTGCTTCTCCGAAATTTTTCGCTTCTTGGAGGCTTGTTGCTCTTGCATGTGGAGAACAAGGAGTCCGTGGCCTGCCGCATCTACGGAGCAGGAGCCGGTCTACCTCTCCTAGTGAGCCGGCGAGCCCAGCACCTGATGCAGCTCACCGGAAGAATCCTACTGGCCCTAATGTATCTGACCCTGTTCCAGCAGTATTTCAGCATTCCAGCCATGGTCTTGAATGCTCTTGGCCTGATCCTGATGTCGTTCATCGTAATTGGCTATCGCACTCGATTGGCTGCATTGTGCCTTTCCCTAATCCTGACCATATGGAATGTGGCCACAAATGCCTGGTGGTTCGCAGATGGAGACTCTAGGGATCTCTTGAAGTACGACTGCTTCCACACTTTATCGGTGGTCGGAGGACTGCTGATGGTCGTTGTCCTGGGTCCTGGGGAAGTGTCCCTCGAGCAGTATAAGAAACATTGGTAGGCTAGTTGGTGTATTTTCAGATTAATCGAACAGAGAAGCGAATGAAAACATCCAAATTTCCCTTGAGCGAAACAGTGAGGTTTTATACGGAGTAGCAAAGAGTATTTTGGAACTTTTAGTAACTTTGATTAATCTGTAATGAGATATACCCGTGATTGGTATTTTGTAAATAAAATATTCTAATTTCATGCATTGCTTTTATCCAAAATGGAAAATAGTTTGAAAATATTGATACCCTGATATGGTTTCTTGAGAATTTACTGTACTTATCTCTTACTTCTAGAGAGGTCTGATGAAACAATGGCTGAGCTGGCGGAGTGGTCACTGTCCCACGTCCTTGCTCTGATCCAATCAAGCTTTAAGCTCGCGGCCACATTGCAATTTTATTAGAGCATAAAATCCCGCAGATGGGCCTGGAATTACCGAGTCATGCCGCCCACATTATACATTCAGCGTGGGCTAAGGACACTCACCCCAGTCACGCCGCCTAATCCCCTCACCCACTCACCAGAATGCCTACTTTCGGGCGCCGCCTTCCCGTTCCGCGGTCTCGCCTCGGGCGGCAAATTTACGCGCAGCCCAACAAATAACAACTAAGTATTTATTATGTAAATAATATTATGCCAAATGCTCACACAGAGCGGACATAAAGTGAGCGAGTCTAGGGGGCCGCGGACTACAGTGGAGTTTCCGCTCAAGTTTACATTTTTATTAAATGCTTTGCTCGAGAACAATCCGCGGAAATAGTTTTCCACTTTCCACTCTCCAATTGCACAGCTGCAGGCAGTTGCCTCGTTCTGGCTAAGTAGCTGCTGTTCTTGGCTTTAAATAACTTAATTTTTCTAAAAAGTTACCAGCCATGGACCACTGCATAAATAAGATTCGACGTAAGTTTCAACTCGATTATGGCTAGTTAAAGTCTAGGAAGCAAACCAGAAGTTGTATTTATAATACCCGTGAGACTTATTAAAGGTATTAAGTTAGCTGTAAACAAGGGACAGTCGGGTAAACCACATTAAATTGCTTTTTGGTATTAAGTTCTGACTGGGTTAATTGTATTTACCCACCGCTCTTCCGTCCCTTTCTGACAATTATTTACTTATTGAAATTCGATTTAAGTAGTCTCAGATTAACAATGTCCCCGCATGGTCAGTGATTTAATACGCAGCACATGAGTGATTACAAAGAAAGGTGCACTTAAATGACTTGAATAGGAGATAAACTTGTTTGTATTCCAAGTTTATTTACTAGACGTTTCATGCTGGTTATAAATACTGTACCATGCCGTACTTAAAGCCAGTTTCCTTTAACAAACATATCATCTCATCGGTTACCCGATTGCTCTTTTAAAAAAAAGGATACTTTTAAGATGATTTTATTTCGTGCAACCTAAGTTCACGAAAGGCAAGCTAATCCCTTACTGGGTATCTAGAGTTCCAGAACCAGAGGCTACTCAGTAACTAGAGCCCAACAGCTTTAAACTTTATTCCCTCGTTAGATTTCCAATTGTTTTTCTTGCTGCCAGCATATCTACGTAATTAAAAACTATTTGCACACAAAAGTTTATAAAAACAGAAACCGACAACAACAGCAACAACAACAACAACAACGAGTGCAAGAACAACACCGGTAAATGAGAGCTACTACTGTTTTGTTGTGCGGTAATTAGTGTAACTGTTCAGTAAACCACATAAACTGATTTCGGTTTTTGGGCTTTTGCCATGCCACTTCCTGCCCATCACCATCACCGTCCACGTCCACGTCCACTTCCATGCCCATGACTCGTCCTTGTCACACACATTTCGGGCAAATAATTGAAATCATTTAAAGGGTCTTGAATTATTAGTTTGTTAATGTTATTGTTTGCTGTCGCATTGTTAGAGCAATAAATTTAAAATTTCTCCTCAAATGGTTGAGCAATGATTGGTGCAAACTTTTCGGGTTCGGGACGCAGAGCACAGAATACAGAGGCCAGGACACAGAACACGGAACATGGACTACGGACTACTGAACGCCCCCAAACCCTGAGCTTGGCGCTATAACATAATAATTCAAGTGGGGAGACTTCGGCGTGGGGCTGCTGCTGGTGGAAACTTTATCTTTGTCGTGGGTTCTGTCAGGGAATTTCGCGTGAATTTCGTATTCATTCGAGTGCAAAGTTGAAAAAGGCCAAACCCAGCCCCAGTCCCAGTTCCAATCCCAGTCCCAATCCGAGTCGGGGGTTCATGTCTAATCGGACTGCCGCCATGAGATGATGCATGGATTATATCGTTTGGAAACTGAACAGCCATTGCGACACTGCAGGAATTAAAACCAAATGTTGCGGGGCTTAACATTTCACGGATTACGTCAGAGCGTTTAACACGATTTCGGCAAAAGTTTATTATAAATTCAACTAAATTTATTGCTATTTCTGAAATTTAATGGTATTTGTCTATTGCTGAAAACCCAAAAAATTCATCGAAATATATGTGAACTATTCAGGATATATATATATATATATTGTAGGATAATCATTTTGCCTTTCTGAAAGACTTTTTCTTCACTGCAGATATCTTTCTTAAATAAAAAGGAATTACAAAGCGAATTACAGGCTGAAAGACTGCAGCTTCCAGTGCTTGTAAAACTGTCTACGTTAACGTCAGTATTTTTATACTAGACTTCACTTGTTTTATGAAAAAATACAAAGTATACCATAATTGAGGGCCATTTGTTTAAAATACTAAAGAGATGAAGGGAAGCAGAAATTAATGCAGCAAATTGAATAATTTTAAATAAATAAAATAATATATTGAGACTATTTGTGCTTAATATAAGCATTTTAAATACTATTTGAAATCAAACTCGTATATTAAAGAAAACAGCTTAAAGACTGCCAATCACAAGAAGATTATGTATACTCTTTCGAAACCATTCGAATCTCGGTCGACTTGCCAGCTCTGTTAATACCATTTACGATCTTTGCTTTGTGCCATCACCTGACCCATCCACCTGACCACCCCGTCCAATCACCTCACTTCGTCCAGGTAACACCCAATTACAACTGGTTAACATTGCTTTTGGGATTGGTTAACCCGATTAGCTGGTGCACTGCTGCTGGGAGCCCATTAAGTTGGCTCAAACATAAAGTTCGGGAAAAGGGCCGAGCTGGAGGTTCGGGGTGTCGGGCTTGTGTGCACGGGGAAGTTGGCCTAATTAAGCGCCGTTCTGGACAGGCTAACAAGCAAGTTAAACACACACAGAACCATTTAATTCGTTTGCGCGATTTCTTTTATTATTAATTACATGCGGTACACATAAATTTCACTTTCCTCCTTGTTTTTGGCAACTTTTTCGTTATTTATGTGCTCTCTGATAAACAAAGCCCATCCAGCTGGAAAAACGGCGATCCTAAAGCAAATATGGGCGAAAGCCTTTCGGGGTTAGATTTGATATGTTGTATATGCTGGGTGCCACTCGGAGTGAATGGGGGCATCTGTCGACTGGAGGTATCTTCCGTGGATTCGTATTCATTAAGTGGTGGGAGTGAGTGGCCTGTAGTGTGGGCTGTGCAAATGTGGAGGGGCTTTAAGTGCTTTCCACAAGAATTCACAATTAAGTTGCAAAATTCCATTGTGGAAAATAAAGGGGGTTGTTGATTGAAATTCTTTAAAATCAAATATTAGAGGGTTAGTACAAGTTTCTAGTTGAATTAGTCATGCATTCTTTTAGTTGTTTTTAGTATTTAATCTGATCTGCTAAATTAGTTATACATTCTAAGAAGGAACAAGAATTTTTAAGTCATTTGGTTGGTGAGTATCTTTTGTGAGGGGATTTCTGAAAGAGTAAGAACCTGTATTCGAATGTGTATTTTAAAGCACTCTTTATGTTAATAATGATACTTCTTTACTATAAAGTTGATTGTGATTATGTTTGAAGAGTTTAACATCATAAGAGAAACCTGTTAAAATACTGAAAAAATACTAAAATCAAGTCACTTAGGCTTGGTTAGTGTAATTAAACTTATTATCACATTCGTGCAAGCCGTGCTCTTTTAAATCCCCTTAAAGATCCTTGACAATGTCAGCGGCGCTTGGAATACTCTCCTCCGGGAGCTGGAGATTTGGCATATAGTTGATGGAGCGGGTAAACTTCATGGACACCGAACCGGGTGCCTGTTTGCATATACCTGCCTGCTGCGGACTCAGTTCCTGTATCTGCAGCCACTTGCTGAAGGCTTTCACATCATTCTGGGTCCACTTCGTGCACTCCGATCGCAGCCTAGTGGATTTGGTGAATGTGAGAAAGAGCTGACTAAAGACGGGCAGGAGCCGCCTTATGTTTAGAATGGGCGCCAGGAGAGGGCCTTCCGACAGCACCTGGCAGTCCAACAGCTCTAGCTTGACCAACAGCGAATGGTTCTTTATTAAGTTGTGCAGGTTGACCATGGAGCACTGTCGAAAGCAGATCCTTTGGCAGGAGTAGGGAAACGGTGGATCGGCCACGTCAGTAAGCTTGCAGTTGGTCAGTCTTAAATCCGTGAGAGCAGTACATTTGGCTAGCTGGAGCTGATGAAGGTTCACAGGAGACACCTGACGAGACCCATCAAAGCTGAATGCTTGGAGATCGTACCGCTTGGCATACACGATGTCCTTCACCGTGGATAGCCAGTCCATTTCGGGCCAAACATCCTGCCGCTGAAATGTGAGATGGGTCAGGTTCGTCAGGCTGCAAATGGCTACCGGATTCTTGATCTCCATTGGCAGCAGCAGCGCCTTCAACATCTTGCAGTTTCCAATGTTCCGAATATCGTAAACGGTGACGGGACCTATTATGTCGCACAGGACCAAGACCTCCAGCTGTCGGCAGTTCATGAAGATATCATCCAGAGCTGCTTGGGAAACGCTTCCGATCGTGAGGGAGCGCTGCTCCCGCATGGCATCAATTTTCGGCAGATGTTTCCTGAGTACCTGCCTTGAGAGGCGTGAGCTGCGGGGGGAATCCTCTGCCTTTTGACTCTTTGGTATATTATTCATCCTCAGACTTTTTTTAATGAAAGGATTCAAAGATACTCAAGCTAGAAAGTGAGGCGAGATTCACCCAATTGGAAGTAAGTTTTTGTAGGATATTTGCCACAAACTAACTTGAAGCCTAGAAATGACAGGTGTAAGAGCAAGCACCTGCAAGCTAGTGGTTCATTCAGGTGAGTTTGGCAACCCTTGGTAATAGGTCAAGGGTTGCCTAACTCATCCTGATGAACCGGCACAAATACTATTTTTAAAGATTGAGTATTTCTTTAAATAAATCCATATTGTTGGTCCCTAAAAATAACACTAAAGATGATAATTAGAGCACTTTAAACTTTAACCCAGACTGAGCCAATTAGTGTGCGATAGTTCTTACCGCAATGTTCCAAATTCCGCGTTTTCATTTGCAAAATATTCCATGCATTCCATGATCAAAAAGAAGACGTTTACCAACACTAAGCTGCCGAATTTTCTAAAGAATTGCAAGCTCATTGCAAACGGAACAGAAAAGAAGACTTATTTTGGATATATTTGGTAAGTATTTAACTAGAATTAGTAATTAAAAAAGCGAGATATTTTATACACCTGTAGTTAAGAATAGCAAAGTGCAATATCTGTTACGCAAGCCCCCAAAACGTGGTCGCCTATCTGTGGTTACCATTAACAGTCGCGTCACTTAGCTGACTTTGTGAATCATTTGTTCAGATGTTAATCGCTTTTGATTTATTATAAAGTTTAAAGGCTGCCCTTGGAAGCCCGGAGCCAGTGTCCGTTAAAGATAAAACGGAAAGATTTCTTTCATAAAATTAAATCTAAAAAAATAATGAAACCTCTGGCTTTTTACGGTCGCCTGACCTAATGTCATTTTAATTTCCATGTATGTATGTACGTATTCACGCCCGAGGCGCCACCAGATAACCCCTTCTGCTTCGTCTTCCTGCGGGGGAGTCAAAAGTGTCACTGGCTGTGTGGTAGTCTGACAGTTGAAAAATGAAACGCAGGACCGGCCATGATGTGGCCACAAAAACTGGCTCCATATGAGGTTTCTGCCCGGCCTTCTTGGCGCTGGCGGCTGCGGGGCCTGGGCCATTGGTATTTATGTGCCGAAATTAAGCCAAATGCCGTGGGGTTGGCGTGGCTGGTCAAGACCCAGAAGAGACGCCCATTAGACCAGGCCAGAACCGTTCGCCCAGAAGCCGCACACGCTTGTCGCATGTTGAAGCGCATTAATTAGAGGGCATAACTTGTCATTTATTGGTCCGCAGCATTCAGCAAATATTAGCAACTTCCCCGATTTCCCCCCCTTTCGCGGTACAAGCTCAAAACATGCATAATCGAACTGTTCGAATGGTTGTCACACACACTCAGGGGGAAGGTACACTGCGGGAAAAGGAGTCGAAATATTTCTAATATTAGTTTTAGACATTTTAGTTTGAACTTGATATAGTTTGAAGAAGTCTCAGATCAATTATCCTCATTTTAAAGATCACAATTTATGAGTTGAAAAGCGGCATAAAAATACATTTTCGATCTGATGTTTCTCTAGAATTATGAACCTTACTTAATCATACCTTAATTAAAGACAAAAGCACTTAATTAAGAGACTGTCGCACCCGAATGAAAATTGTAATTTACTTTCAAAAACAGGGCCATCTGATTTTCATCCGTGTAGGGAGACTGTCGACAGGGGCGTTGGCTGTAGGGGGCGGCGGGGTTTGAGGCCAATGACGCCGGGCAGGGGTTCCGGCTACGGTGAAGCATTTCTCATTGTTGCGAGAGAAATTCACAAGCCACAACCATTTGCATGCCCCGCATCGCTCTCCCCGCTCGCATTTCCCAAAGAAAAAACTCTTCACATGGCCGGAGGCTGTTTGCAAGAACGAGCAGAGAAGTAAAAATGGAATCATAAATTCCAGCTCCTGCATTCCCCGTGCCCATTTCCATTCGCATCTCCTGCTCCATCCCCACCCCAGCACCCCTCGTCCGGATTCGACCTACATCAGCAGCCGTCGCACATTTTATCAATGGTTGCACGTTTTGTTGTGGTTACCCTTTAACTCCGGCTGGTCTCATGGACTGCGCTGTGATCTTGGCCCATGATGGCCCGATAGCAGCTGATTCCTGACGAGGGTTAAGGCTGTGATGGATTGATGACGGCGTTCTGATTAGGTAAATATGCCAGCCAAAATCCAGCAGTCAATGAAGCTTCTTTGGGTGATTTCTTTACTCTTTTTTATTTTAATTGATTGAATTTTAGAAACGTTTTGCGGGAACGTATAAATTTGAAGATAAGACAAAGTTCTCAGTGCCTGTTCAGTTGTCTAAACTTTCTCTTTCTTCTTTATTTATTCAAGTCAAAAAGTTGTTATGGAGTGAAATTATAGCCATTTTAAGGTTAAACACTCTCTGTTTTAATGCCACAAAACCCATCATTGGTAATACAAATTACTTGACATTTCGCAGATTATTTAACTAATATTCCAGTTACTCTTCGAGATTTACGAGTTTCCCCTTAGAGCATAGTATAGTCGCCTTTTGTTTGAGTCAAATGCCTCCGTTTTATTTCATATTTTTTTTGTTTAAGCCAAATGGCGACGCGTCGTATCGCTCACTTTGACGACAGTGGGCCGACTTCGACTTTTTGTGGCATTCAGCTCTCGCACACAGCAATTACACGGCTTAAGTGCAGGAGCGAGTGGGAGTGCCAGATGGGCGTGGCAGGGGGACATGCCCATTTAGCACTCGACTGGCTTCGATTGCTTTAAAGCGTTTCCTCTCGCCCGCTTTTTCGCAGCGCTCTCTGCTTTCGTGTCTCCTGATTGACGATTGTTGTCCTCCGCATTGATGGGACTGCCGTTGTTATTGCTCATAATTTACACGCATGAATAAACAAATACGTAACAACATTCGCCGCGGGGCGGTTATGTTAGGCTTAATATTGATGTCGGGGGCTCATTAGGTCGTACGAACTCGATGCGAAAACGTGGCCCAAACATCCTCGTGTGTGTCCATTAAGGGACAAATGTATGTAGTAGCTGGTTACTTGGCCACTTGTCCAAAGCCCAATTTATTGTCTCAGTAAATATGCGTATCAAGTGGGGAGCATGGATAGGTATGTTGCCATCAAAATGGGCATCAGCAGGTCTTATTGGACAGGAGTAATTGTGAAACTATTCGAGGAGTAGTTTAGTTAAGGGTTTTAAAGGCTATCAACGAAATTCCGAAAGAATATTTAATATTTCTATGTATTTTCTTTCAAAGTGTAAGAGGGATTGCTCTTGGAAATGAGAAATTTAACAAGGCCTTAAGTTCCAAAAGTAAGAAGAGCTTGACATTATGTTTATATTTACTCTTCGAGAGTAGACCATAGCAAGAGTGGCAATCATTCATCTAAATGTCATTACTGTACTTAAAGAACTAAGATGTAAAGTTCTTTATGCTCCAAATTGAATAACCTTAAAGACTGTAAAGTGTAGGCTCTCAAATTAGTTGATATCCTTCTATAAACTTACAAATCCTTACCTAAGTTACAGCTCAGTTAAAGAGCTCTTATCAAAAACCTATTTCTTTCGAATTATTATCAAATAAATTCCTTTTCTATTTATTTTAAGATTATATTTAAGATTGCCCCTGAAGAAAACGCAGCATTTACACCACAAGCACAACTTTGAATTTTGTTATTCCAATTCATAAGCTCCCAAACTGTGGAATATCCATGTATACCATAAAGTAGCAGCCATAAATTCCAACAAAATATAACTTTTCTCAAAAACATAATGCTTGCATATGAAAACTTAGACATCATGCCAATCCAGAGTTAATTAATGGCCGCCAGCGGCTATTTATTAGTCTGAAGTATCGCCTTGCCTCCGAATTGAGTAAGTCGGAATTTATTCAAGGGAGTACAGAGTTCGGGAATTATTCCCGATGTGATTCCTGAGCTGGACTGCGAAATTTATGGGCTCTCAACGAATTCGGCTAATGGCTGTATTAGCGACGCCAACTCTTTGGCTCCACTTAGCGCAGTTATTTAATTAAAGCTCGGTCCTTGTTGCCATTCGGCCACGCCCATCGCTCGAGTCCCTATTTTTCTCCCTCTAACCCACTCCAAAGGTTATGTGTTTTGGCCATAAATAAATTAAACGTGACATTTGACCGCCATTTGTCTTGGGAGCCGTTCTATGGTAAATACTTGTATCTCTTACATAAAACATAGTTGAATTCGCCTTCGTGGCTGGTACTGCTGCTGTTTTGTATGCGGTCCATGGCCGTGGCATAATTAACAGAGATGGACATGGGCGTGGCGCTGCCTTTGACCTTGGCTAGTGCGCTGATTGATGGCTTAAGTGTTATTTGAGTGTCTACTTATTTCTGTTCTCGCTTTGTCCCATTGTCTTAGCCACGAGTCTGTGTGTGTGGTCCTTTGCGTTTTTGCCTTTCGCTGTTGCCCAATTTAATTATATCACATATGAGTGCGGAAGTGGAAGTGGAAGTGGAAGTGGAGATGGGGTCATGTGTTGTTAATGATATTGCCTTGGCACTGCCAGCAGTTCAACTGAGATTGATTAGATCTGGCAGAAGCAGCAGCAGCAGCAGCAGCAGCAGCAGTTGAACGCAAAAACAAGATGATAAATATTATTTGGCAATTATTCAGCCGCAAGGACTTTAAGCGCCTTTAAGAGACCACCCCAAGACAGCGTTTCGTCAGCAAATATTTGGCCGAGATCTGTCTGGCACAGAGCATAAATAAATAAGTGTGCCTGGAATATTAGAGGCTTCCCATAGAAGTGAAATCAATTTCGGGCAAGAGTTCACTCATGCTGAATCGAAAGCTTCCTCGTAATTTATTCAATCCTGGCTTGGAGAAAATTATTCAGAAATTAGGGGAAAAACCTGTAATTAAACCCAACCGTGAATTAGACAATCTGATGAAAGCAATATGCATAGACAGCACGGTCCGGTTGTAATTTCACAGGGGAGAACAATCACATCACACATCCGACCTGTTGAACAGACCACCGCATCTCATCCCCAACCCAACCCATACCATCCCATGCACGCACAAAATTTAATCAACTCGAGATTCAGAAACAGACACACACGGCTAACATGGCCCGCCCCAATTAGGCCGGGCTAGAAAATATGCCAGGCATTTTCATAAACTACTCGAAAAACGAAGGGCAAATATCAAGCCTAGGCAGAGCCAGAATCTTCACACGCTGCGTATGCGTAATGAGTTTCTGGCACCGAAAATGGAAGATTTCCTTTCGGGTGACAGGTGTCTGACAATCATATGAGCGTGTGCGCGTGTGTGCGCTCGACTAAATGAAAATTTGCACTGCACGATTAAATTAACTCGACAAGCTTATAAAAATCGTGCCAACGAGTTGCCAACGACAATGCAGCCAAGCAAATCTCATCATGTAAATTAAATTTGGCAAACGCTTCACTCGACACTTGCACAAAAATGTGCGAAATTGAATTAACTATGCATGCAAAAACAAAAGCTTAGCACCAAACGGAAAAGCGGGAAAGCTGTACAGCAGCACAGCAGGGCACATGAAACATGGCACTCAACTCTGCCCGACTCGACTCCCGAAAAGGGCAGAGCACGTAGCCAGAAAGTTGGACAGGGGTGCAGGGATTCCGAATTCGGGTTATGGGACAGACTCGCATGGTAAACACAAGGTCTCTGGGGCGTTCCTGGAAGCGATTTTCCCCGTGGACTCGTATGCCAAAGGGATAAAGAGATTGCTGCCAGTTGGTTACGCGATTGGATGGCTTACGGCGGCTGGTTCGGAGTTCGAAAACATTGATTCGGAATGTTGAAGTGTTAACGGGGCTTTATGATGGGATTGATAGGGAAAGTCCAAGCGGATACTGAAATATTTCACTAAATTAATTAGTGGATATGGATTTTTAATTATATTTTTATTTTTATGAGTTACTTAATAGGGTAATACGGAATAAATTTAGGAATAGGATGGGATCAAAATCATAATAACCTTTTTTTAATCAACAACATTCAGTTAATAAAATCAAAGTTAACAGCAAAAGAAAGAAAACATATTTAATTAACAGAACTCATAAATATATATTAATTAACTTAAACAGAAACTTCTTATTAAATATTTCGTAATGCTTTTCGCCCAGCGTCGCGGCGAATTATCGGTGAAATCCGTGCCCAGAAGTGCACGCCGGATTCCCATATCACCCCAAGTAAAAGAAGTTTACACTTACGCGTTCGCATGCCACGAAAGCTGACAGCTGCCAGAAACGCCAACAGTATGCTGGCACTTCCCGGACTCCTCCCGGCCAGGAAGGTTGCCCCTCGTCCCCTCACTCCTCCTGCAGGGCGCTCCCCCTCCCGCCAGGGCATTTTATTGGGCGAGGGCATCTGTCGGTTGTCGCACCTGGGCGGAACTTGGATTGGTTTGGGATTTGCTTTCGGATTTCGTATTTATTTCCTCGCAGCTAGTTAATCCAAGTTTCGCCAGCTCGAGTAGCACGTCATTTTGGTCCTGCTCCGTGCTGTTTGTTCTCGCTCTGTTATTTAATTATTTGCATTGCTTTTATGAAGTCTTCTCGGTTGAATTTGCATACCACATTTCTCCCTGCGCGGCCAGGGGGTCGTAGCAGTGCGGACGTGACTGTCTTTCTCCGCCTCTGGCCCAGCCAGGACTCTTGTTTTTATTTCACCGAGTCAGACCGCAGAGAACGTATGTTTTAACTTATTTTTGCTTTATTTGGCAAAGCCAACCGCAGCAGCCAGGCTGGAAAGTCTATATAAAGGCTAGAAAGGCAAAAATATAAGTTCGGTCCGAGGAAAAGGAGGAAAACGGAAAACCACCAAGGATTCACTGCTGTTAGCATTCTATTTATGTGATAAATGGATATTTATCCGGCTCTGCCTCTGGGCATAAGTTTTGGGCTGGCTTGATTATAAGTCAATAAATTAATGAATTGCATGGCTCCCCGCTCCTCCTCCTGCTCCTCCTGCTCCTCCCTTTCCACTCTCCATTAGTTTCACTTCCGCCACTTCTGCTGAGCTTGGCAAATTTTTAATGGCTTGCTCGTTATTTTTTGTTGGCCAAATAGTCGTTTTGCCCGCAAAACTGTGTCGACTCCTCCAAATGAATGCCAGAGCCCCATTTAACCGGCTCACAGCTCAGCTGGCAGAGCTGGCAAATCGAAGTCCCCAAATAGCAAAAAATGGGAAATCCTAATGCATTATTGCACTCCATAACATGGGGCGATTAGAAGGAGTAATTAGAGTGGCTAAGCAACAAATTGATATTTATTTTTCCAGAGTGGAATCTAGTCCATTAGCTGTTCCTAGATTTTCCTAATACTCCCCCGGACAGGCGGAGTCAACTATGAAGGGCAGCTAAGCATGTGCCACAAACTAATCCCCCCTTGAACTTTGTTTGCCTATATACTTATGTATATTTGGATGCTCGTAAGATTGGCCTTTTCATATTAATATTTCTTTTACTCCTCAGAGGAAAGTATTATTGTTTTTGAAGAGGATTTAGTATAAATCAACGTGTGCTCAACTGGATAAAAGTGAGAAATGTGTGCAGAAGCATGAAACGAGTAGACCAACACCAAAGGGGATTACTTTGGAGTTTTCTTTAAGAAACAATATGTTAATGTACGAGTTTGTATGTAGCTGTAGATGTAGCAGCTAAGGTATCACATCGTTAAGCGAATTCTAAAAAGTTCCCTTGATTTATATTTAATTTTTCAAGCCTGATAATTTGAAAACCGTAAAGAAAAGTCTTGGCAGAACTTCACGGATGGCAAATCTGTTATTTTATCTCCTTAATTTATTTTTATATTATGTTTATATTAAAAACAAACTCATTTTTCTGCCATTAAAAAATGTAGGATCCGAAGAGTCTTACTTTTGAGCTAATGCGACTTTGGCTTTACTGAAAATTGCACGTTAAATCTCAATAAATCTCAATCTTACAACGGATAGAGGGCTTTGTCTTTAAAATGTGTTAGAATCTGTTAAAATGATCCCTATAAGCAATATATATAGTAAATATATAGATAAAAAGGCTACTCATTAGGTCAGTTAACGCTTCCTTCGACTTTTTTCCACATATGAATTATATAAGAGCATCATATCATAATTTTGCTATACGACCCTTAATTGTAAAATTGTAAATTGTAAATATTTAAAGAAATTTGTATTTTTACTCCAATATTGACCAACGTCTGTCTCGTCCAAACAGTGTACATTGTAACTTTCACTTTGGCAGTAACCCCCTTCAGTAAATACAAAATAAACAAGCAAAAAGTAATACCAGTAGAGGGGAGAATTGGGAGAAGTAGGCAGTTAAGCAATGTTCAATACTGTTTCCGAAGCCTTAACAAGGTTTTCTATATTTAAATATTAGAATTTTATTCCACTCCAAGTGCTACGTCTAGTGCCTATACTAAGAATTCCCTGAATTACTGAAAAATCTCCATCAATTCACACCTTCTTCCTCCACCCTTCTCACTTAATCTGAACTAAAACTGAATTCATCTTCTCGCCAGCTCGGTGTCCTCCTCCCCCACTTCGCACTCCCGATGACTGAATTCCTAGAGAGGTGCTTGGCAGTTGTTGATACTTCACTTTTGTCGAATTCCCCTCAATTAATAAAGGTTGCCCCCCGTGTCGTGATATGTGATACTTTTTCCGAATTGCTTTGCGTTGCCAAGCATAAAATCCTTTTTTGTTTTCAATGCTTTCTTGGGTTTTTTTTTAGAACAGCTATCCGATATCCTGGCCAAGTCTGGCACCTGTTTCAACAGCTCTCTCTGATTTGCCAGCATGTTAGCTCCCGCCTGCGACAGTCTAATGATATCTAAGTCCCGGAGGATTGGTGGTGTCTCTGCACATTAATGAGTTTTAAAGTCTATGGAAGAGCACGACTTCTGCGCGGGCCTAAGTCTGGCTCTAATCAGATTAGATTTCCATATATTACATCATATGCTCATCAATATAATCAAATTGAAATAGATGGGGGCCAAGCAATAGCACGTGCCACCTCGGAGAGGGAGGAGCGGCGGATTCCGGCCAGGTCACATCTTTCACTCCATTCACATCAGTCAAATCCTTCACGTTCGCCATCGTTCTTTTCCTTTTCCATTTTCATTTTTCACGTTTCGTGGATAGACGACGACGCAATCAACGTTTGACGGCGTTTGACTTTCGATCTTGCCTGGCTGGCTCTGCCTCCGTGTGGCCCTGCCTTTGTATCTGTATCCGTTCTAATGCGCAGCAATTTAAAATGTGATTTTCCCTGATTTATAAAGGACACATTGCACTCACAGTCGTATCTCACAGGATTTCGCGGCACACTTTCGAAATACGGGGGGCATTCCTGCGCGCCACTCCGCGACACTTCACTTTATCAGGCTGTGGGGGCGAACACGCCCACATCCTTTACCGTGCACATTCGCGCCAACAAAGACCGGCCGCCGATGAATCAGAATCAGAATGGGACTCCGATTTGGAATCCGGAGATGCCACGATGCATTCACTTTCGTGGCACACAAACTATCGCCCGCGAATAATTCAAACTTATGCCTTATTTTTGGGCCTTTCGAATCACGCGCCTCTTTTTCCCGCTCGACGTCCTTCGCTGAGCCATGCAAATTTCAAACTGAATCCGGAGCATTTCGCGAATCGCAGTGTGCCTTTGTCAAGTGTTTCGTTTCGATTCAGAGGATTTTACCCCTTCTGTTTCACGATGTTTCGTCCTTTGTGATTTGTTCGTTTCATCCCTCAGATTTCCGATTTCTTCGGTTCACAACTTCCCCTGTCTCAATCCAGTCCAAAGCGTTCCTTCTGGCTTTGCATCGGTTTCGTTTCACTTCGCTTAAAATTTCCCCTTCGAGCGTCTCGTTTCGTTCCATTCCGTTTCCCCGTTTTCAGTTGGCAGGGGGCCCCGGTGGATATTCGGGAAGTGGAACAGAAGTGTAGTCTCACTGTTCTCAGCCGACCGTTAAGGGAAGATGTTAACCGTTTCGAATCAACAGGCAGTTAAAACCAGTATTCGTTGGTAACTTGCTAAGCAAAACGTTCTACGATTATTAATTCCTTGCATGGACTTCAGTTGTTTTATTAAATACTAAAAAATAATAAATTAATAAAAAGAATTAAAAGAAAAGAATTTCTTTTACAAAACTTTTGAATTTCTCTGTGTTGATATTTTGTTTATAGATTGGATAGATAAATATTTTTCAATTAAAATTGGAAATTCTTAATTTATTTAATGAAACATCGTTACCTTCTCGGGCATGTTAAGTATTATTTTCTATTGGCAGAACTACAATTGCTTTAAAGTTGATACATTTTATTTCGAATTCAAGGTTACAATAATAGTAAGGCGTATATTTGCTTTTGAAAATAAATATAGTTTAGGATAGGACACAATAATTTATTTTAATTTTTCCTCGAATTATGAGCTATTTTCTTTGAACAAAAAAACTTTTACATCTTCTTTTTATTCAAAGTTGATCAAAAATGACGTTTACGGATCCCGGTATAATTTACAAAATACCGTTGGGCCAAGCAGATAAAGATCGATGAGCAGAGGCAGGTTTATCAGCAGTTTCTATTTTGTTTTGGTTCTGCCAGTTTCGCATGCGCTTTACTGTTATTTTGTAGCGCATGCGCTTTTGGTAGCTTTTGCTAGAACTGCTGCACTCTACATCGGAGCTTTGGTTGCTTAGCTTCTTCTTGTATGATTGAGTTGAACTCCGAGCAAAATTTGGAAATTGAACTACACCGATTTATTTACTCTACAGCAATCAAAAACTCTTAGTTGCTCAACAAGTACTTTAAAGCTATAGAAATCTTTAATATAAAATTGTCCCACCAAGCAACCAGATAAATAAGAACACTTTCATTTAGATTATATGAACCGCACTAGCTCGCTGCCAAAACTGACTGACGCTAATTGAAGAGGGATGTGTGAGGGGGACAACCATAAGGCACCGCTGCCGTTATTTCTTAGATCCCTCTCTATCAATACATACACAATAGATGTGATGTATGAATATCAATAAACCTCTTGCACTTGTATGTATTTACATACATATTTTTCAACAAAAGCTTTAATTAGATGCTTTTCTGATTGACAAGAACAAGCATATTCCTGTTTTGTACAAACCGAAACGTATTTAACTTATTCAGAAATTCTTTTAAATTTAAAAAATTGTTTGCATTAATTATTAATTATTAAAATAAATAAATTCCTTATTTGGTCATATGCTTAGTTTGTTTTCTTTAGTAGCAAAAAAGTAAACTAAAAAGGTTTCCTTTTAGCACTTATTAAAATTTTGTTTAATAACACTTTACCTCAAATACGTCAAGTCAGAATGAATCTTAGCATACCACTCTCCAATTTGGATAAAACGCAAATCTAAACAAATACGTTTGCTAATACCTTTTGAAACTACCATCCCTTCGCACTAGCGCTCTCTATAGCCGCTTTATTCATAACGCAATCGTTTTGCCGAGCAATCTTCCCGTGATATCCTTTGAGCAATCCTGGCCTTGGCTCCATCCGATGCCTTTGCATATTAAATTCGCATTTATTTCCGCCATTTCGCAACTCAATTGTACTGGCGGCCGAAACAAACAAAGCTCTCCCCTCCCTCCTCACTGTCCTCCATTCGTCCTGCGGAGCAGTTATTATGTTTCGTAGTGTCGGTAGGCAAAAGGTAATAAGAAACAAGTAACGACCAAATAATTGAGTGCACGCTGCACAAAGGATTCTCGCGTTGCGATGGGAAGGATGTTTTTGTGATACCCCGCCCCAGCCCGCCTGCCTGCCTGCCTGCATGGGCCGTGGTTCCCACCTTTCGCCATTGTTTGCCAACGGTTTGAGCTGAAAGTGAAATGCATGTTTTATTGGCATCACAAAACAAAAGCAGAAATGCCAGACTGCCGGAGAAACTTAAGCCAACCAGGGATTCTGCATGCCCTCACAGAGGGCATCGCACGTCGAGCAAGACAGATGATAACTGCTTAAGGGTGATCAACATTCTATCTATAAAGTGGATATTTTTGATATCTAGCATAGAATATTACCTATAATTAAGCATAGTTTGTACCTGAAAGCTTTCTTCATAACCCCCAAAAACAGAAAGGGCATCAAGTGCAACAATCAAGAAGTTGTGCCAAAGCGATTTTCATATTACAAGGTAGATACAATGACTCAATGGGTGCTTAACCAAGGCACTAGCAGAAGCCATTAAAAAATAAAGCCCCTGAGAGGCAGTAAATTGAAAGGAGCAACTGTTCTGCCACGACTGCAGCTGGCTCTTGCCTCCTTCTGCCAGATCCGGAAGATATATGCACTATATGTGTCTGGATGATGTTCTGTTTGATTGTCGGCTGCTTATACTCAGTCAGTGACTCACTTCCCAACGACCTGCGTCGTCATTAAAAGCAGTTTAAATAGGACACGCTGCGTGTCTGAGCCATTGCCTTTTATGATGAGCAATATGAGCGAGAGTTGATCCCCCACTCCCACTCCCGCTTCCGTCTGGGCCACCTGGACAGTTAAGCCGGCCAAACGGCAGTGCATTCCCATTTAATTTAAACAATTGGAGCCGTGCAATTGCCATAACTTTTGATGAGGCTGCCGCACGAATTTTGTATGCAAATTTAATTAAAACTCCTGACTTTGCTCTCGCATACGTAGTTTATCATCGTCGGCAAGGCCAAAGCTGTGCAGTTCGCAAATTCCATATTTACTTGAAAATGCCTATCGATGATTGCTTGACACAACAAAGGATGCGCATTCCCATTGCTGTTTTTGACCCCAAAGGATTGCAGCCAAAACAATTATACGAGCTGTGTTTCTCTCTGGAAAAGGCTCCGAAATTCCTCTTTAAAGGGGCAGCAGCAGTGGCAAACCTTCAATTCGAGTTAATTGAGAATTTCTTATTCCTTGATCAGTCGAGCTTTATATATATTTCATATCCCAGTGGGTTTATTTATTTTGATTTCCTGCCCGGCTTTCAGCCAACAAACAAATCTCGAGTATCAGAAAGATGGCTCTTGTTTCGGTTTTCGGTTTTCTGTTTTGATTCATCTCGTGGAATAGCAGTTCATGAAAACTTTCTGGTCTACGACTTTTTGTTTTGATTTCTTTTCCGATTTTCTATGTGCATTTTATTTGATTTACTGGCAAAGCCCGAGCTCTGATTGACCTTTGTTTTCGTTTTACGCCAGACAGCAATATATAGATAGTCGGCGACAGTGCGTGTCAAAATATTATCAATTCGAATTCTTAAATAAATAAATGTTGCAAAAATCAGTTATTGAACTACAAAGTTAAAAATAGATGTAACTAGCTAAACGAAAGCTGTTCTGAACTCATTCAAATTCGAGTTTGAAATATTTAAGTCAACATAGAGAAGAGTAACTTTAAATGTGAGAAAATTTAACTTACAAAAGCAAGCAAAGTTATGCTGGTGTTTCCCATTTCATAAACTCCATTTCGAAGTTACTATTTTTATTAGGTTTCCATTAACCTAACCCGGCTCTGTAAGGCTCTTTATGTCAAGCAGACGCCGTTAAATGTTTGCTCCCAGCAACGCCTTTGCATTTCAAATTTCCCTGGCATTTTGTTTTATTCGGGCTTGTTTGGGGCTGGCTGGCTGCAGTGGAAAATGCCAATGCCGATGCCGCGACGCTTGCTGAAATGTTGAGCAAACACAATCAAGTGGTAAAATGAGTAGACAATGGCTAAAGCGGAGGAGCAGAGGGAGAAGAGGGAGAGCTGGCTCGGGACTACTTTGGAGCTGTCGATACAGCCGGGGCTCTTGAAACTGTATCCCGAATCCAGCATCCTTTCTTGGTCCTCGAGCTGTGCTGCGGGCATATAAATTGAATTGTGTGAAAATTTATATTTGTTTTGGCATTTTATGACACACTCCAGAGAGTGTTGCGGGTGGCCAGATTTCCAGATTCCCGCTACCCACCAGTTCCCTTTTCGGACTCCCCACTCCCTCCTCCCCAGTCACTAGTCACCAGTCTCCTTTTTCTGCTGCCGACTGTATCTGATTTCGAGAGTCCTCCGCTTCGAGCAGCCTCTCAGAAAGGGCCCCCGAAATTGATTAAAGGTGCGTTGGCGATGCTGGATGTGGAATTTAAAATAGCGCGCCCTTCCCCTCTCCCTCTCACTTACCGCACTTAACAAAAATGTATAGAAAACATCTCTAAATTTAGCACTTTTAGTTGCCATTTCTTACCAAAGTCAAACTGGGTTTTATACACTTTTCACAGGATTTAAAATGGTAAGATCTATATGGATTTCAAGTCTTGCTTAAAGGCTTATTAATTAAAAGATTATTCCCATATATATATTATTTTCCATTAGGTTCTTGGAAGATTTCTAACAGCGTCATGTTTAGATTTTCTATCACAAAAATTGTGCGTTTTTAATGGAGAAAACCATGCCCAGATTTTCTGCTAGTGCAGATGCCAATCAAATGTTGCGGAAATTGTGGCCAACTCTTAAAGTCTGCTGATTGGGTTGGTCTGTGTCAGGTTTGTTTCAACACAAAAGCCCTTCGAGCCCAGAAACCGAGTTGGCTTGGCCCGACTTTGGGGCTGGGGG